TGGTCAAAAGATTATTACCTTAATATTTTGTAACCTGATAACTTTACTCATAGGTTTCATGACCAAGAGTATTGTCCGTGAGTTCTATGTAGCCATTGCAAGGAGTTATCGAAGAGCAGGGAAGTAGAGTGCCATGGGAGGAAGGGTTGCCGTCAGAGTGGGGGGTAGAGGCAGTCAGATCTCTGCCTTACCGCTGTTGGCCTTTGGCTGGGGTGGAGTTGGATTCTCCTTCTCCTTTGTGTTGCCAGAAGAGGCAAGAGGTACCCCCCATGCCATTTCCTCAGGCCATAGGGAGAAGAAGACAGATATAAAGGCATAGGCACATGTCGCATAGAGGTTTATAGATTTAACTGAAATTATTGCCCCCATCTCCCCTCAGGGACATCCTCTTGGTAGTGACAGATAGCAGATTTAACTAAAGCAATAAGAACGTACATTGCCAAGCAGTGGTCCCCATGGTGATGCAGCCAATTCACTGATCAAGCAAAACTAGAAGTTGGTGCTTTGAACCTACCTAGAGCAGCGATTCTCAACCTGTGAGTCTCAACCCCTTTGGGGGTCGAACGACCCTTTCACAGGGTTTGCCTGATTCATAACAGTAGCAAAATGACAGTGATGAAGTAGCAACGAAAATAATGTTATGGTTGGGGGTCACCACAACATGAGGAACTGTATTAAAGGGCCGCGGCATTAGGAAGGTTGAGAACCACTGACCTAGAGGGACCTCAGGTAAAGGCACACGAATCTGCGTCGTAAAGGCCACAGCTTTGGAAGCCCCATGGGAGGGTCGTGCTGCTTGGCAGCATATGGAGGTCACGTGAGTCGGAATGGAATGGACTTCAACTGTTTTTCTGGGTTTGCTTTTTAACTGCAAATGGGCTTCGAATTTTAGTACTTGCATAATTGAAGGTATCTGTTCGTTTTTCAGCTCATATAATTTCTTTACCCTAATATTATTGACTTTTCATCTCTACTCCACTTCAGAAGCTGTCTTCTTTGAATTTTTCAATGTCAACATTAACCCATCTTCATAGACAAATACAAGTTACTGCACAGGCTCTCACGAACACTCCAGAATGTTGGTACTATTTTACCAGGCACTTTCAGGAGAAATCCATGAAGTAATTTCTCTTGAATTACAGTCAAAACAAACAAAATCAAAACCAGCCTTTAAATATACCTACCATATTTGACTTCTGAGGAAACTCCCACATGGTAATATTATTCTTGACTTCTGCTTCAATATGACTGCTGATTTAATTTTTAATTTTTATTTCCTGGGGCGTGTGCTAAGGCTCAAAGAAATTCATGAATTTGGAGAAAACGATTGCACTGGCTAACGTGAAGAAAAATGGTTGTCTCGAAAGACACAGAAGTTCGTATGAAACTGAACAATCCTCTCATAAAACGTAAACATCAATGTTCGGGAGGATTTTTTCCCTTTGTTTTTCATTTTCTTTCCTTCACCCACCCTCATATTCAGGGATTACTAGCAAAATCACCTCAGTTCAGGGTCTTTCTGTGAATTAATGTCTGGTCTCAGTTAACGGTCCTTGACTTCACCTCAGTTCATCACTGCAGAGTGCTCCCATGCCTGTCTTATTACTTAACTAGGCTTCCTCTGTATATTTTTTATGGATCTTCCAGGAATAGTGGTAGTCTTCCTGGAGAGAGGCAACTGGCCATATTTTGTTAGTTTGTAAAGGAAGTCCGCACAATAGCAAGAAATATGGAGAAACGCTTGCCCAGCTATCCCAATAAATCCGGCTGTTTGAACATCACTCACTTTCATCACAATTCTGCTTTCGAGTCTAAAACCCAAAGGCATTTGTTCTGCGGAAGGCGATGGCCAGCAGTCAGAGCCCTGATTCCATCTTGAGTTTTAACATAATCCAGAATGCCACCTTGAGTACTTCACACAGATCTGACCACTGAACGACATAGGTTCTAGGGCAAATTCCAGGAAAGCGGGAAGAGGCTATGATCATAATCAGCCTCCCTGATACATACAGGGACATGGCAGATAGATTCATTAGCACTCGTACAAAGGACTGGGGACCCAGGCCTGTGCTTATCCTCTTCAGGACAAAGATAGGTAGGTAAAGAGTGATTGCTCCATCATTTTCCCTGCTGGACCAATGGAGGGCTTCTTGAGGGTTGCTTTTGCAAAGTTGCATCAAGGTTCTGATTGCAGTCAGGTGTATTTAACATTTATGGAACCAATGAAGGGGCTTTGGGATGTAATGGGTTACATTTAGGACTGTGAATTAGTTTATTGTACCAACATGGACAATAAACACATGTGGGGTTAATTGAAGGGCGGAGGGATAAATGGCTCCATGAACCTTGCCTTTTGAGTTCTCAGGTCCCTTGCTTTGTGATGGGCGGACCAGGGTGCAGCTGCCTTAGCAGTTCCCTGCTTCAGCTGGCAAGGCTGACTTCCTGCAAGACATCCCCAAGCAGAAGCCATATGGACCTACCCCAATGCAGCCCTGGGTTCTGGAGCAGCCGTGTGGAGACCCCTGCCAGCGCTGAGATGCTTACACATTCACTGATTTGGCTTTCCTCCTGCAGTCGGCATCATAGTGTGTGTTTTGTGAGATGGATGAGGACTTTGTGGATTGGTGTCGGGCTTATGGGTTGATGTTGGACTTGTGGGCATGGACAGCACTGGGTTGGGATGTTTTCTTAATGCTCACTTACCCTTTGTATAAAACTCTCTCTTATACATGAGTTTCTGTGGATTTGTTTCTCTAAAATACACAGACTAACACACACTATCAAGTCCAAGATCAGCAGTTTGAACCCACCAGGTGCTTATTAGGAGGAAGCTTTCTGCTTCCCTAAATATATACAGCCTTAGAAATTCAAGGCTATCCTGTAGGGTGGCTATGAGTTGGAATGGCTTTGATTGCAGTGAGTTGGGTTTTTTGAGTATTTGTGGCAGGAATGCAGCCGTTGCTGATTTGTAACTTTTATATGTACTGTTGACTTTGTAATATTCTTTGGTCTCTTGCGGACATTGTTCCAATAGCAAGCTCTTCCATTTCCCATCTCTCTCTTCTCTTTGATGCATATGCAAAATAAAATCTGTCTTCCCTAGTACTCTAACTGTGGAACTTCTCTCCTATGAAAGTTCTAATATTAACTCAGTTGAAATGGAGATCATGAAAACAGCTCTCTAGCTAATTATTAATGCATTGGTAAGAGCTCTCTGGAGGGCAAATATGTGATGGTGAAAATACTATGGCTAGTGCCTGTGTTTCACCTCGACAAGCCAATTGCTTATATATATGTCATGAGGTATTTATATTAAGCATCATCAATAACCACCACCCCCACAACTATGAATTGTTGCTGAGGATTATTGTGTCATTAGAAACCAAAAGTTTTGTTTTGCTAATTGTTGGTGATTTGTTTGTTTGCGAAATCTACCCCATGAGGTCTAGGGTGTAATCCCAGTGAACTTTTGGAGATGTTTATCATGACTTATTTATTTCTTCAACTTTAAGATTAAAAACAATAGGTGTGTGTGTGTGTGTGTGTGTGTAATGCAATAAGGAAACACCCAGACTTTGAGCCTCTACTTAAATATCTCAGTATAAGAACAGTTTTTTTCTAATAATGTAGCACTGTATGATACTCACCGACATGGTCACTGAAGACAAAATGAGTGCATAAGCAAATGTGGTGAAGAAAGCTGATGGTGCCTGGTTACTAAAATAAATAGCATCTGGAGTCTTAAAGACTTGTAGTTACACAAGTGTCCATCCAGCAGGGAAGCAACAAAGCCCACGTGGAAGAAGCACACTCGTCTGTGTGATCACGAGTTGTCAAAGGGAATAGATATCATAAGTTCAAAAACAAGCAGTCGGATTGAGGTGAAGAAGTGGAGACGCCCCAAACCCACCTGTATGATAATTGGACAGTTCCTTACAGAAGGGCCATATGAGAGGGAAGATGCATCCAGGCTCTAGTATAGCAGTGAAGTAACATGATGATCCTCCGGTTCTATAATATGTCCTCCCCTTCCTATGATGGTTCTCATTTTACTTCGTTTATCTTGTTAGACCTGAGTATGTTTATTGATACTTGGATAATGCAAATAATCCAATGCATTGAATCCAAGATAGATTAACCCATCATAAATAGTAAGGAGAGCAATGATTCCCTGGGGTACTGAAAAGAGGGGGGATGGGGAGAAAGGGGGAACCCATAGCAAAGATGACTATAATCCTACTCGAGGCTAACAAATAACAGACTTGCAGGTGAAAGAACACAGTGGATGGTGTAAGATATGACAAATAATAATAATAATAATTTATAATATAAGAATAAAGTTTCTTGGAAATCAAGGGTGGGGGAGGGGAGGAATAAAGGAGAGCTGATATCAAAGAGTTCAAGAAGAAAGAAACTGTTTTGAAATGATTTTGGCAGTAATTTTACAATTATGTTTGATCTAATTGAATTATGGATGGTTATAATATCTGTAAGAGCTCCCAATAAATGATTATAAATAAATACATACATTTTTTAAAAACTGAGGAGGAATGACAACAGTAATGTCTAGAATGTGACTCATGTTGGGTGAAGGTCATCTTGGGTCACAATCAATTTAATTAGAGATAAATAATTCTTTAGCAAAAGTTTTATTTCCAGAGATAAACAATGGGATCATTTTGTACAATACATAAAATATGCAGTGATACAAATGAAAAGTCTATTTCATTCAATAACTAACATATACCTCCCTTCCTAGAAATGACACAGACTTTTTAATTAAAAAAAAACAAGACCGCAGAAACAAAGTTTTTTTACCTCTGCCGAGTCTTCACATATGTGTAAGTTGGGCAGACTAAATTCTATCAGTGAATGACTGTTCAAGTCTAACCTATTTCTGTTCATTTTCTCCCAGAGTGACCGTAACAGTTGAACAAAATTGTTGACTATTTCTTCACTTTTAACTTTGTTTTCCTATTTGTGTTTTTCCTTTTCTTCAGATTTTTTTTTCCATCTGTGTTGCCTTCTGGGGAGTAAGAAGCATGAAACAGCTTGCCTCTGGACCTTAAGTGTGTACAGAATTCTCTTGTTTTAATCAACTGCACACAATGACAATATAGTATTAATGCGTATGGAAATATCATTGTTTTATATAAGGTTAATATGAACCATTAATGAATATGCATAATGTAATGTTCTTCAGTGAATATTTTTGCTCTTGCTTTTGTTTCAGATTTTACTATGGTCTATTAAAATTAGAGTCTTGTGTAGCTACTTTCCTTTCCTGCAAGGAGGCTTGGTGGCGTCATTGGTTCCACACTGGGCTGCAGCCTACAAGGTCAGCAGTGAGAACTCCCCAGTCGCTTGTATGGGACAAGTTGAGGTTTTTGCTTCTGTAAAGATTTACTGGCACCCCTCCTGAACAGTTCTATCTTTACCCTATAGCTTCATTATGAGTCAGAATCATCATCATGACAGTGAGTTCCTTTATTGCTACCGTTGAGCACCAAAATATTTTAAATATAATATTATTTTAGTCACTGGTATCAGCTATTCTAAAAGCGCTGGGCAAAAAGAGACGGGAACATTTTAAAATCAGTAAGGAGAATGATTGCCTTTGTATCGATACAACAACTTTCCCTTTGGTATTTGTTAGTAGCATGCTTAGTAACAAAACTGGATTATGTGATTTGCCTGCCTACATTTTATTTACTTTTGCAAACTACACAGTCTAAGAAACTACACTAAAAAAATCGTGATGTGAGAATGAATAGACTTTGTCAGAAAGTATTTATTCAGCAGATTAATTTGTGATACGTGAGGCTAATGTGTTTCTGGCAGAATGAGGACAATGTAGTATTCTTGTGTAGTTTAACATTGTCACAATATTAGTAATCTCCAAATAAAATTCCTCCAGGTGTTGAATGTTCATTTTGGGGGAGAGATTATAAAAACCTGCCAAGTGTTTCATAGGAAAAAATGACAGGGTAACTTTCAAAGGAAGAGAACTGAAATTCTTTGGGGGGGGGGAGGGGAACAGCCTTTTCTTCTCATCTTACAATATTTCTTAGAATTAAAATGATAATTTAAGTGATAAAGTTGCCATCACTATAGCAGTTAATGCTGCTCTTCCTTGAGCTTTCCATTGTCCATTACTGGGATAAAGACAATTAAACCCACTTCATAAATACACTTTTCAAACTTGAAACAAAGAAAAGAATGCAACCTTTACGAGAACAAGACACAGGTGTCCATGTGGACTCAAAATCCAACATCACAGCACCGTCTGTTTCTCAAACTGCAATGACAGAGGTAGATGAGGTTTTGCATGACGGAAAACATTAACAAATTATACCCCAAACGTCAGAAGTAGGAGTTTGGCTCTGCTTCATTCGTCTTCTATACTTGTTAATTTAACACAGTTTTAGAGCAAGCACTGAAGCCCATAACAAGTACTGAGCCCTGCTTTTTGTCTCTTGCCAATGGTTCTTGCTGGACTTTAAATGTGTGCTATCAGGTTAAAATACAGAGCCCTCTGCTGGCTGGTCACTGTTAACTAAGAACATAAACATCATTGAGACCCCCATTCTATCTCCTAAACAATCTTCTGTTTGTAGGTAACATCTTCTGGTAATAACAAAGAAAAGATCATTTTAAAAATCTTTAAATAGCTAGTGTTGTAAGCTTTAAAAATCAGCTTTAAAAGTATATTTATAAAATGGGCTTAATTGTCATCAAATAGGTTAACTTGTGCTCCCTGAATGAGTTAGTTTATTGTGCCAACCTGGCTGATAAACACATGCGGGGTTAATTGAAGGGTGGAGGAATAAATGGCTCCGTGAACCTCGCCTTTCAAGTTCTTGGGCCTCTTGCTCTGCGATGGTCGCACCAGGGTGCAGCTGCCTTAACCAGTTCCCTGCTTTAGCTGGCAAGGCAGACTTCCTGCAAGACAACCCTGA